CAATCTATTGCCACAACATGGCAGTTACATACTCTTGAAGTTCTGTCATGGGAACTTTAAAATGATAATGAGTGAAGTTACAGCTGTATGTGACATATCAGAGGGTCGCTGTTTCTTTTGCAAAAGGAGAAATGGGGTAGATGAGTGCAGAAGAGTTTCCTAATCTGTTACACAAAGTGTTTTATTTTAATTACAATATCAGTCTGAGAACACTGGAGCATCCTGGCTTCTGGGACAGAGCAGTTAGCGTGACTGTTGATGACCTGCTTATCTTAAAGGACTTTATTTTGATGTACTACTTTCTGTTCTTGATTTTACATCGTTAAAATGTATCCACACTAAACTCTATTATAGACTATTAAAACCTCACCCTTGCCGTTCAAATAATCCTCTAAAGAATGTTCAAAGCTCTGCGGGGTGTCAAAGGTTCCACTGCCAGCGCTAAAGTGAAAATAAGAGACGGCGATGTCCTTTGGATTCCGCGTCACGTAGATAATCTGACAGTAAACAGAAAAAAACAATCAGCTAAAAGGTTAAACCAACTCGTAATTTTCCTTTCAAGCCAATCTCGTAGTTATAGTTTCATCATTCTTTGATTTTTAGTTCAGGTACAAACTTACTTCAGAAATAATTAACTCTCAAATCTGAATCTGAAATGATTTGTCAATTGTACGGTGGCCGGTAGGGATCAAACACTCAGCAAATAATGAAACGACAGACATTTAGAAAAACGTGCAGCATATATGGAAACGCTGCACATTCAAAAGCAAATGCAAACTACCACATCAAATGCAAAGGCTGAAATGCACTGCAAAGACACAAACACGCTGCAAGTACAGAAACAAAACTTAAGTCAAAACACACACAACCAGAAAACCACAGCAAACACAGAAACGCTGCAAGTTCAGGCCTGTAGGTGTGCTGTGGATCTGTTTATTTCAGTTTATTTACGGGAGAGAGTGGTGGTGTTTAGATAAAAAATTTACTTTGCCGTCTCTCTCCCGCATCTGTGAGCAACCTGAGGGGGGATTCAATGAGAGCAGCCCCGGTACGCTAGGAGACAAGGCCATGTACGGTCCTGCCCGGAGTCAAACAGGACGTTTGTTGTTGGGGCTGCTCTCATTGAATCCCCCCTCAGGTCGCTCACAGATGCGGGAGAGAGATGGGGAAGTGAATTTATTATCTAAACACCACCGGAGCAGCATTTCGCCGGGGCTATGCCCCACTTTCTATTGTAGGCAAACACGACTTTATAACATGTAGGGGGGAAAACACAACTTTGAGGAATGAGGTCTTATTGAGCGGTAGCTTTGCTAAGTTGGCTGCCCGGCTACCAGCACCATTGCCCGGCTTGAGAACAGGACTTCAGTCCGCCAGAATTTTGAACTTGTCAGGCCCAGGGTAGAGGGCTCTCCGTGGGTGAAGTGTCAGTGTTTGATGACAGGGAGAATGTTAAACTGTTGCAAAGAGATGAGTAGCGAGTTTAACCCGGACACCGGAGATGGTAAAAGCACAAAGTGTCAGGCTGGTAAAGCGGGTCCAGAGGGATAAGTTGCAGCTGGAGCTCATAGCCCCCAAAGCTAGCACTAGCTCCAGGCATCCCGGGGGCTACAGCCACGGACCCACACTCGGCTCTCGTCCCCGATGTCAAAATCCCGGTTGGACTCGCTTTATCTCCATGCTTCGGTAAAATTGAAGTTATCCTGTGTCTTTCAATGATACAACTTCCCTATCTAAACATAACTTTCTGTTCCTAGCGGTCTCTCTTACTCTCTCCCATAAATAAACAGATCCAAAGCGCCCCTACAGGCCTGGAGCACTTCCGTTTAAGGCTGAACTTGCAGCGTTTGACCACTACAGGCCACCGTACCAATTGATTCACAGATGAAATGCGACCCCCTTTTTTTTTATTTTATTTTTTTTTATTTATTTTTTTTTTTTTTATGAAATGGTGTTGTTCAAGCTTTGTTTTGCCAACAATGGTGATTACTCCAGATTTTTAAAATATCTGTTTTTCCCATTTTACAATAAAGTGACTAAATTGTCTTTGGAATTCGGTCGATTGGTTTTGCTGGGAAAAAATGTATTAATAAGATCTATTTCCATCCTCTGTTGGCACCCTATGGACAAAACTATTTACTGTTACACTATCACACTGTTTTCATTGAGGACTTTACTTAAATATATACATTTTTATTTTCCTGGCAGTTCCTTACCTTCGCCTTCTTCTCCGTCAGTCCTGGAGGCAGGAGAGCCGGGGTGAGGTGGGAGCTGAAAAGACGTGGAGACGGTCGTAATGAGAAATCCTCTCCAAACGCTGAGTACTCAATCCAAGGCATCTGTGCCATGTTGTTTTTATACTCATTCAGACCTCCGTCTAACTCACAGATGGAGCTGAGGATCTGCTGAGTCCATATGGTGCCTGAGGAGGGACAAAAGAAAATATGACACATCTTACCAGCTAAAACTGTTCCCAGTAAATGACTTAAAACTGTAAATACAAAGAAACTTTTTACTGACCTGACTTTGGATATGTAACCAGGAAGACATCACTATCTCGTATTTCAAATCTCTGCAGAGAATCGATGTGCTCTGCAGTTGTGTATCCAACGACAAAGTTGTTGTTTTTATACCTTTGAAGTTTGTCAGAGATGTGCTCCATGTTTGCTCTGAATCAGACGCAGGAGAGGCTGATGTTTTTATATAAGAACACAGTTGATCAGAGAGCAGCAGCTGGACTCTGGACTTTGTTTAAGCAGCTAACTGCTAGATACATACTGTAGGTTTGATATATAACACTAAAAGTTGATGTTTAATTCAAAACCCTCCCAGGCCTTGAGAACAAAATTGGGAACAGCAAAGATTCTCTGTTGGAAATATTTACCACAGTTTTCAGACATCTGACAGAGTTGCACTTCCTAATATTCACTACAGTTAAACAATAATTTAAATTAAAGTGCCTTCCTGTTCAGGTTTCTGTTATCCAATGCATGTTCAGATTGCTGGGCTTTTTTATTTAAGTTGGGCTGGAGACACCCGGTTGTCCTTTTTTCAGTCTTCTTGTTTTTCTTTAGATTAGTCCTTTTTCTCAGCTGGTTTTAGGGGGGAAAAGATCCATTCTTGCAAAAGAAGGAGTGTAGCCAGTTGACTTTCTAAATCATCCATTGTTTCTCAAGAATCATCAGTACTTAAGTGTCATCACTTGTTATAATGTAATGACAGCGATTGAATGAGAGGCATCAGTGGTAGGAGTGGGCTGCTGTCAGTGGGCTGTTGGCTAACAGTGTTAGTGAGCTGACAGTGTGTTTATTCAGCTTTGGCACTAATTATTGTTTTATAATCTTATATTATAACTGGGTCGAAACCGAACCTAACAAAACAAAGGTCATCATTTTCACCAGAGCATTTTATAATTTAGTGAAATTAATTATTATTATTTTTTTTTAATTTTATGCATTTAAAATCAAAAAACGGGTCGGTGCTTACCCTAATACAAGAGAAAGACTTTAAAGGCTTTATATGCGATTTTTTGATCCAGCAGATGTCGCCCTTGAGCACCAGCATAAAACCAAAACAACTCGCGGTGCATTGTTGTGTTAGCATGCTAATGCTAGTATTATTATGTTCGTATCTTCACACTGCATGTAAATTGACCCGAAATGAGCGTGATCTAGAAACACAGTTAAGCAGTGAGTACGGTATGTTATTCTTCTTTTCTCTAGTCCCTCAATTTAACAACTTTTATACGCAAGGGGAGGAGTCAGCCGGCCGTCTGGGCGATGTAAACAAACTGAAGATAGGACTCGGAAAACTCTGAAAACATCACAGACAGTGGGACTCGGGTGTTTCACCCATTGTAGACAGTCATGACTCACAGAGTTATTTTCAGAGGATATACTTGATTAATATTATATTTAAGTGTGAAAAATCACATATGAAGCCTTTAATCTCGCTGACAAATACATTTTGGTCTACTGTTCCCAGAGAATAATGACACTAATTTAGTTTCTGTTTGTACATTTAGCTAGCATGTACAATGATGTTCAAAAATAAATAACATCTCACTTTATCCTGTGGAGTTTACCTAAAAATGTCTGAGACCAATTATGTTATGATACTTTAATGTTTGACAAGAAACTGACCCAAAAGATCAATTCAACTTTGCATCAAAACATGTTTAAAAGAAAACATGCAGCTATAAACTCTTTTACCTTTTTTCTTTATCTTCAGAAAAGTTGTCTATATATGAATGTTCAATCACGGGGAAGCAGATAGTTTATTTTTCATAAAAAGTTGCATTTATCATCAGGCTGGGATGAAGCTGTTTTTAGACTATTGGTTGCTGCCCTCTGGTGGTCACAAGAGAAAATACATCAATCATCTGTGTACTTTAGTGAGGAATATTTTGGCACTTTTTTACTGTGATACCTTAAAGGTGCACTATGTAGATTTGGTAGTGAAATTTGAAATTTGGGGAAGTGAAACAATTCTATGCTGTATTTTCTGAACTAAATACACAAACTTTACTCAAAGGAAAAAATGGGTCCCTGGGTTTGGAGCTTAAAGAGAGATACTGTTTCACTGTTGCGGGCCCCCAACCATAACTTCTCGGGTAGCATTTTATCTTCAAACAGTGTTACAGGGACAAAAATTTCCTCAGAGGACAGTTTGTGTACAGAGCTATGAACATAAACCACAGAATCTGTACGCTTCGATCAATAAAGTAATTCTATTCTATTCTATTTCACATTTTTCTACCAAAACCACGTAGTGCACCTTTAAACTGAGGCTTTCGCTTTACCTACTGTTTTTTTGTGTGCAATTGTTGAATAAAAAATGAATAATTTAAATATTGGTCCACTCTTCAAACTATGGAATGATGAGATTATCTCCACAAGATGGCAGTATTTAAAAAAAAAAAAAAAATATTTGACGATAACGTACTGCGTCAGCGAAGAAGAACTCTACCACCCACAATTCATTGCGTTGTTCCGGTTCCAGCCATTCGAGACCTAAGATGGCGGACCGGCGGCGAAGGAGGAAGCGCGCGTCCCAGGACAGCGACGACGACGACGAGTCCGGTTCGGGTTCGGACAGCGGGAGGTCAGGGTCTCCTGCCACTAAGAACCGAGGAAAAGAACCCGAACCGCCGGAGCCGACAGTGACACGGGTGGAGGTGAAGAGCGACGCGGAGTCCGAGTGTGTGAGTAGCGGAGTCCGGACGTCGGCTAGCTCGAGCTAGTCTCTCTCTTTGGCTTCTAACGTAGTGTTAGAACACACACATCCTCTTTTTAAACTATAATGTATGTTCAACTGACTTTTAGTATTTGACACAGGCAGGACGAGCACATCAAAGCAGAGTCATTTGGTCTCGTTGTGAAACGTAGACGAAAAGGCGCCACTTGGAACGTTTTTCGCAGGGACACAAATTTCACCACAACACCCACACTGTAGAGCCCCCGGTTACTTTCACTCTTATTAAAGAAGCTGTTCGTTCCCAGTGGATTATTTTGCGCGCTTGCCTTTAGGTAAGGGCAGGTCATTGTGAGTGCACTGTTGGAAATCTGCTCTGCTTTGGGATTTTCTTGTTCAGCACCCAGCTAGGCCACGCTGACGGTACCGCTTCATGTCGTCAGCTTGCCACGTCCAGCACGCTGTTACCGCTGCGGGGAGACCAGGAGATGTCTTAACTCTGTGGAATGACTTATCAGCTAAATGCATCTCTCTGGCAGTGGAAACATATTGAAATTAAAACTGCCTCAACCTCAAGTTCACGTATATGTCTGGTAAAACACATACACTATTAAAAAGGTAGTAACAGGGTAGGGATGTAACTATTCACTCAACTCACGATACAATTCACGATACTGGATTCACGATACTGGATTCTCTCAGTATTTATTTTACAAAATCAGACTGTAGACACATTATGATTGAAAAAGATTCATTTAGGGGCTGCAAACCCACTTGTCTTTTGTAACTTTTGCTGCTTTGCTAAAAGTGCTCATGATGGATAGGCCGGGTCTTTGTAACATAACAGTGAGTAAGGTCTTTTTACCTGCTTTTTGTAATATAGCAATAAGTAAGGTCTTTTACCTGCTTTTTGTAATATAGCAATAAGTAAGGTCTTTTACCTGCTTTTTGTAATATAGCAATAAGTAAGGTCTTTTACCTGCTTTTTGTAATATAGCAATAAGTAAGGTCTTTTACCTGCTTTTTGTAACATAACAATAAGTAAGGTCTTTTACCTGCTTTTTGTAACATAACAATAAGTAAGGTCTTTTACCTGCTTTTTGTAATGTTAACAGACAAAGAGTAAGGTATTTTACCTGCTTTTTGTAAAGTGTCTTGAGATAACACGTGTTATGAGTTGACGCTATACAAAATAAATTGAATTGTCTCTAACTAGGCTCTTCTCCTCTGTCGCCCCCCGGTGGTGGAATGAACTTCCAAACTCCATTTGATCTGCAGAGTCCCTCTGCACCTTTAAGAAAAAGCTAAAGACCCAGCTCTTTCATGAATACCTACTAACTTAATGATGATGGTCTCCATATTATTGATGATGATGATGGTTGTGACGATAGTTTTTGTTTGATAACGATGACTTATAAGATGGTTTCTATACTGATTAGAGCTCTCAAGAACTGCCCTCAATGTTGTGCTTTGCCTCTGGTCACTTCCTGTCAGCACCTGTGTGTCCAATCAGACTCAAAGCTGATCGTTTTCTCTTACTGACATTGTTCCCTTTCTTTCTTGTTGTTCTTCCTCTCTGATGTACGTCACTTTGGATAAAAGCGTCTGCTGAGTGAATTGTAGAATTGTCAGTGTGGTTTGGCCTTTAAATGTTTATTATCACAACAAGGGGAGGCGATTGGAGTTTATCATTGTAGTGTCGATTAAATGATGCGTCGTGTTTGTTGTTCTATTTGTGTAGTTCCCTGTGTTCTTGTTAATGTTTGCACACAGTTTTTGTCTGGTCTGTTATCGTCTCAGCTCGTTCATTTTCTGTCTTGGGGAAGCCAAAATGCTTCCACACCTCTGATTCAAAAGACAGTGGTGCGTCTTCAATTTCAAAATCTTGCCCTACAGCTGCTGACGCTCACGATGTTATTGTGATTCATTTTTCAGAGCACCGATATGAATATTGACACGTTTGAATCTATTTGTCATGATTTTACGATTAATCTTAACATCCCTAGTACCGGGTGAATGTGCTTATTGGTTCATTATGACACAATACCTGCGCTTAACCCAAATGCATTTTTATAATCATAATTATGAGGTTGTTTTTTTTCTCCTGACACTTAACCATGGGGGGGAAGTGAAAGCATAAACATATAGCGACTGCATATCATGTGTCATATTAACAATAGCAATGCACATCTATGTCAGTCAGTGTCTCTAAGTTCATTTAACGAAAGCATCTGCAGGTTCAGAATACTGGGAAGGAGGGGTCCTGCTCAACAATGTGCACTTCTCATGTCAAACCGTTAAGGTTATCCAAAGTGTTGTTGAAAAACAAATATGAAGTTTAATAGAAAACAGATGGTTTATTAGAAGGATCTGCTTCTGATTTGAACTCACCCTGTTCCAAGCAGAGCTGAAAGAGTTCTTATTCCTCCAAAAAATAAAAACCAGACAGGACATTAGGTAGTGATACTGATCTGTGTGTTTTTCTCTTTGCAGGAGAGTGAAGATGGAGTAGGAGAAGGTAAGACTCATCAGTTCTTACAAATAGCATACAATCTGATAAGTAGAAAAAGTTACAAAAATTAAATGATTGAGTTGAGAGTAATTTGTATAAAGCTGAATGTATTGCAATTCAAAGTGTTTTTATGCTGTCGTCCATCGCCTTGTGTTTTTTATTCTCAAAAGTACTGATTCAGGCACTGATTAGGCACCAGTGCTGTTTAAAAAGCAGTGATTTAGCAAAAGCCAAACCGTATCCAACCTGAATGTCATGAGACATTTGTTCTGTTCAGGCTTCCAGCTTTGAAGCCTCCAAATATTTACTTCAAAAGATTTATCGTTATCTTTTTCTGCTTTGTCCAGCTGTCCTCTCCGACTACGACAGCGCCGATCCGGAGGATAACGGCTCCCATTCAGAGGTACCACACAAGCTGCATGACACTCGGCAAGTTTAGCTGAAGTCACATTCTGTCAAACCTCCAGCAGTGCTGTCACACCAAATTACTTTGCAAACAATTTCACTGACGCGTTAATAATAATAGAATATAGACAGGGTGTCCTTTTGTCCGTTGTGTCGTAATTAAACATAGTAAACCCGATTTATTTAAAATAATTAAGTAGATTTTAATATAAAGCTACGGTTTCATCAGAGTGATATTCTGGGCTCCACCAGCCGACATTTGTGAGACAAGTTACCATAATCCTGTTTCCTCTCAGGGAGTGGAGGAGGAAGAGGAGGCTGAACGTGTAAGCGACGAAGAGGCCCCTGCAGCAGCCAGCGAGTCCAAACCTTCCGCTGCTGATGTTCCACCGGAGGAGGAGGAGGAGGATGAGCAGCAGCAGCAGCAGCAGCAGCAGCAGCAGCAGCAGCATCAGCATCAAGGGGAAGATGAGGCGGGTGAAGAGGAGGCGGTGGAAGAGGAGGTGGAGGCAGAGGAGGAGAGGGTAGAGGAGAGTAAAGAGGAGAGTAAAGCCGAGGAAAAGGAAAACCTGGCCGGAGAGAGACAGAGTGGTGACGGACAGGTGAGATTCTGTTTCATGGTTTACTACAAACGATTCAGTGTCTGCTCAATCTTTCTGTTTGTCTATCAGCACCGTTCTTTATTCTAAACACTCATCACAGGAAGAACTATAAATTAATCCACCCTGGAAAATAGTCCCCAAACACCTTTTGCTTCCTTCTCTTTAAGTTCAGGGTGCTAAGAACACCAGATAGAGCAGATAGGGACGTGGTTCAGTTTGCATTGTAGTCCGATTGTTATTGCATCACACGGAGAGAGCCGAGTCAGACAAAATGTGTTAAAACAACCTTCAGGTTCACATACACACAATCAGTGTTTCACTCCATCAATCCAATGTTTAGAGCTCAAACCCTCAGCCCCCATAACTCTTCTAATAAAAGAATAATAATAAACCAAATAGTTAGATATTGTCTGTCTCCATGAGTCTCTCTTGGGCTCAAATTTTAGAAGAAACATTTCTCACTCTTTCTATTTTAACTTCAAGTTAAATTGTGCCACTGGCATTGTTACACAAGCTTCATTCATAAAATACTTTCTGCAAAAATGTGAAGATCGAGTTGTAGCTGAAGTTTAACATGTAGACACTGCCCTCATTGTGTCTTTCTCTGTTTCATTTAACACACACACACACACACACACACACACAGGAGTCGACAGATGACCCTGAAACAAAGACGGGAGGAAAACCGGGTCAGAAGCTGGACGATGACGAGGACAGAAAGAACCCGGCCTTCATCCCGAGGAAGGGTCTGTTCTTCGAGCACGATGTGAGAGGAAACACTCAGGAGGAGGAGAGGTATATATTATTGATCCAACTTTCCAGCTCGTAACCATGAGGTATGCACAAGTTTTTAGTCACTAGCAAGTTAAATTCACAACGTCTTCATGTTTCAGACCAAAAGGTCGCAACAGGAAGTTGTGGAAGGACGAGGGTCGCTGGGAACACGACAAGTTCAGGGAAGAGGAGCAGGCGCCGAAGAGCCGCGAGGAGCTCGTTGCCATGTACGGTTACGACATCCGGAACGGAGGCGGGCACGGGGACCGAACATACCGTCAGCGCCGACCCAGGTGAGCTCTGGGTTTCCTGAGTTTAACAAAACAGCAGAAAGGAACGACAGAAGGAGATTAATCTTTGAGTTTAATGTTTACAGAATTCCACCCTTTGTAAAAAATCAACCTAGACGTTATATGGATTCATTTTGCTCTCATTGTTTAAAAATAGCTTTATAAAGTTTGAATAATATTATATGTTAAATATAAATGTCTGTGTGTCCCCTTACAGACAGAACATGTCTCCCAACAGAGATAAGCGGTGGAGAGACGGAGGAGAGCGACCAGTCCGATCCTGGCAGAGCGGCGGTGGAGGAGGAGGTGGTCTGAATCGAGGAGGGGCTCCTCAACCTTCATCCAATCATCCATCCTCTACACCCCCTTCCTCTCTCCATCTCTCCTCTGCTCAGCGTGGCAGCAATCCCTCCAGACCTCCCCCTTCCCGCAGCAGACCCCCCCACCAGAGTCAGATGCACCTTCCGCCTCAGTCCCAGTACAGGAACCACGAATCAAAAGGACCCCAGACACATCCCAGAGAACGCCAGGGCTCTAGAGCTCCGTCCGACCCCACAGGAGAGCGGTTCAGCAGGGGAGGGCGAGCTGGTGGGGGCAGGGGCGGTCCCTCTGTGGTCATTGAGGATGTTACAGTCAGCCAAGGAGGTGTTAGGGATCAGGACCTCAGTGCTGTAACCACAGCTGTGGCATCACAGCCTGGTGGTTACCAGTCTGCATCGCCACGACGACATCAGCAGGATCATAGAGGAAGCACGGACAGAACTGCACAAGGATTGGCTGCTCCTTCCTCCAACACTGACCCTGCTCTGCAGTCGTCTACACCCCCAGTGACCAATCGGGAGGCCTCCCCTCCCACAGAGCGACCCGTGGAGCGTAAATCATATGCACTGGCTCGCAGGACTCGCTCCCGGCCCGCAGATCTGGGCAGCAAACAGCCATCTGTGGAGGAGTCTGCAGCAGGAGGGAATGCCTCCTCCCCCAGCAGCGTGGGAGGGAAGAGCTGGGCGAGTACAGGCGACAGCTCAAGTCAGACCGGAGGAGGAGGAGGAGGAGGAGCGCTGGCAGAACTTGACCAGGACGTTGCTCGACTCAGTCTGGCAGGACAAAGCTGGAGCCAGAGCCCGACGTCCTACATCCGCTCTGAGATGAGAGGTGAGAACACAGGTGTCACACAGCTTTATGTACCAGCCTCTCGGGTGTATTGATGGCAGGTTGTACAAAAGTTTAGATATGACTTGCAAATTGTTTTTGCTTGGCACAGTGAGTTTAATTCCCAGGTCGCAGGGTGTAGATGTCGGGGCACAGGTGACAGAAAAAATGGTCGAGGAAGAACCCAAAGTTCTCACCAGACCGTAAAAAGACACTACTTGTACAAAGAAATAAGAAATACTGCTGCGTTCTGGACCAGTTGGAGGAGACTCAAAATTTGCCTGATTAAAATATGTATACACACATAAGCCCCCCATATAACCCCTGTGCCAAGTCACCTGTTTGCAACAATGCTCTTGGTAAAAATCTGTAATGATTCATAGGCTATCAAACAACCAGCAGAAGAACATTTTGAAAATATTTCGCCACACTTTGCCATCATCCCTCTTCTGTCCCTGTCAACTTTACTCTGGGCAGCATCAGAGAGAGCCTGATGACATCAACAACTCACTGATATTTGGCTTTATGTAGCTGTAGCGTTTCTCCTCTAAACTGAAGCTCAAGACGTCTTGTGTTTTTAGGGTTGATTGAGATTTACAAGATACGCTTAACAGTATGGACAGTCTTTAAAAAGAGCTTCAACTTTCACGTATGAACATGTTGTTGATGCATCAATAAACACTGAGTCAGTGTAAGAATGCAGGAGTTTCACTTGTAACAGAGTATTTCTTTACTGGAGTAAAACTATCTTTACTTTGGTAAAAAAGAATGCAGGGTATCATAGGTCATAACACGATTGTGAAATAGTGGATGTCTTAAAAATGTGTGTTTTTTTGTTTTGTTCATTTAAGTTAAATTTCCATCTGCAGGCCTCCCCAACACCATGCACCTCCCCAGCGGCCCGCCTCCCTTCTCCAGCATTGAGGAGATAGGTGTCGCCTCCAACCGGGCCAAACGCTACTCCTCCCAACGTCAGCGAGCCGTACCAGAGCCAGCACCGCCCATGCATCTGGGGGTGATGGAGGGACACTACTACGAACCAAGTAAGAATATAATGTGACGTACAAACATCAAACTTTCTTGGGACAGCTGCAGTAAAAAAAACTTTTAATCAGTTGCATTCAGTGTAGCTCTTCCTCCTCCCCAGCAGAGGTCAGTAAAGATCAGTCCTAGCTTTACACATCTGTTGGGTACCATCAAGTGTCATCTCTCAGACTGAAGAGTATTTTCATCCTGTTCTTTGATTGAAGGTGTTTAAAAACAACGACTTTGTTCACTTTTGATGTGACTTCTGTGTCTGCTGATGTTTAAAATGTTTCCAATGTCAGACTCCTAACCTGTTTGAACCTCATTGCACTTTGATTGAATGTACAACAATGTTCTTTTGATTGACCAACCTTTCCCCTTGCAGTGTCATACCAGGGACCAATCTACGCCCACGGGGAAGGCCCCGCCCCCATCCCGCCCCAAGGCATGCTGGTCCAGCCAGAGATGCACCTTCCCCACCCTGGTCAGTTAGTTTTTTCCTTTTCTAAAGTGAAGTTGCAGATGAAACTGTTATAGACATAATTTATAAGAAAAGTGCTGGACGCTACAGCACTTCAGTAAAGATGTGTTTGAGATACTCACCTCTCCACCTCCTCCTTAGGTCTCCATCCCCACCAATCAGGTGGCCCTATCGCTAACCCCGCCCTCTATGGAGGCCCTCCTGTTTCCCTGTCGCCAGGGCAACCACCACAGCAGCTGCTGCCACCACCTTTCTACCCTCCACCAGGGGTCATGACTTTCCCGTACCCCACCATGTACCCTACTCCGCAGGTATGTTCCCTAGATCCTTTACTGTCACTTTAAATAAAATAGACAAAATGGAATTACGGCTCAATTCTACTACAGTTATTGACTTTTACAATCCAAACTCTGTTTTATTATGATTGGCTTTTTTAAATAATATCTTTATGATTCTACTGAGGAGCTATAAATGGAAATACATTTGTATCTGTTGTGGCAGTCTAAATTTTGAGTTAAGTTATATGTACCTTAACAGTTCGCCTTTAAAACATTCTTAGAACTCTGCTGTGTCTCGACTGAGTGTCCTGCTATGGTTAATGAAGTTTTAGGGGATTTAAATTTGTGGTTGTTTGTTTGTTTGACAGGCTCAGGCACAAGTGACCTACGGAGGTGTAACGTACTACGACACCATGCAGCAGCAGGCTCAGCCCAAACCCTCGCCCCCCCGCCGCACGTCCCAGCCCGTCACCATCAAGCCCCCTCCAGAGGTGCACTTCGTATCAGAGTGACCTCGCCTCTCACCCCTCCCCGCCTCCCAGTCTCAGCCTCACTCTGATCGCAAAACTACAGGTAAGATTTTAGAAATGAAAGAAGATGAATAACATCTCCCTGTTCTCCGTCTTCTAGAATCTCTAAAACATGTCAGTATTGTTCTTTTTAAAAGTTCACCTGCTGGACGCCTTGTTTCATTGTGATGTTGACATGCAGGCTGCTAGTTTCTACATCATGTTGGGTTTCATTCTGAGCTGTGATTGGCTCAAGAGTGAACAGAGATTCCAGATAAAACATTCCTTCAGCATCTGATGAAGGTGAAAAACTCCAAACATCAGATGTTATTTTGTTGTAGTTCAAACTGTCACTGAATGCATGAAAGACATTGAAAACAAACCCTGATGACTATATCTTTCTGTTTCCCCGTTCCTCTTCATTTCCTCTTTTTATTGATTGAATTATGACACTTTTTTTTGAACAGATGTTTTTCATGTTGAAAAATGACAACTGTGTAATGTCCGCTGAACGCGATGCTGCAGGGCCACGTTCTCTGGTTCTTATGTATTAAAAAAATAAATGTGTTCTCTCTTTGAAGACGTCTGATTATAGTCAGAGATTTAAAAACATTTTGTCTGTATTCTGTGATTCAGGAGCTGGATGGGAGGGTCAGTGAGGAGCTGCGGTCTCCAACAGCAGCCATCAGATATCCAGGGAGGGACGAGAGGACGGACTCTGCAGGTGGAATCAGACTCTGGTTTTCTTTTCTTTCTTAGTTTTCGGGCCTGTAGCAGGCGGGTGAACCGCGCACAGACTGTTCTGTTACTCAGCGTCGGAGGTTCTGTCCCACCAACGTGTCTTTGAACCTGAAAACGTCTCTCTGATGAGTTCAAACCCTTTAGAGCCTCTTTGAAGCATTTACCTTCATACAGAGTTACAAACACGGTTAGAATCTGAGCTGTCGGGGAGGTGTGTTGGGATCATGTTTTTTTTTTTTTTTCCGTTAGCTCCTTTTCATAGTGATGTGTTCGATTCAAACAGAAGTCAGACTGAATCCAGGCAATATAAAACAGTGTGCAGACACTTTTTGTTAGCCATTTACTTTACACTGTACAGCAGCTGTTTTTGTGACCAACAGGAGGTGAATAGATATCTATGTTAAAGCAGAGTAAATCTACGGTTTGAGTGGTGTTTGTGTGTGTGTAGTTTGAGTGCAGGTGTCAGTGTTCAGTCTACCCGGTGCTTCCTGAAAACCTCCAGTTACTGTCATGTTACAGTTGAAGACGGCTGCTTCTTTTTTAAATGTTCCTCCTCATTCACACACACACAGACGGTTTTTGAAGTTAAAGAATCTCAAACTTATGATAGTTTAGGGGATCAAACTCGGATTATATAGTAAAAAATCGCCTTCAAATGTCCTGTTTTTGTTCTCCAAATCTCAGAGATTTCAGTTTACCATCATAAAAAAGAGAGTACTTTTGAGAAGCCGCAACCTAGTAGGAATACATTTGGTGAATTGACTTCAGTATTAATCCGTTTTAAGAGTTGTTGTCATTCAATTTTCTTTGTGTGTAGAGCGTAGACGAATCGAACAATGGTGAATTGTTGGCGTTCTCTGCCGTTCTCTACATGGAGCGTTTGCTGTATATATGAATCTAAAATGTGTATATAGAAGGAGCGTGAAGAGATACAATAGAGCAGGAAACATATTGTAATAAAAGTGCTACAGAACAGTCAGCTTCTAATTGAAGACACATCGGCAGGGACCTCGAATGTTAACGATGGATTTAATTTAGAGATGTAGTGACGATAAAGAAGCAGTGTGGCTTTAGCTTTGTCTGTTTTCTGTTGTCTTTCTTTCAAATGTCACTGTTTGATTTGAATACTGTTTTTTTTTTTTTGTATTACTAGTGAATGCAGGAGAGAATTGATTTCTTTGTTTTCACATGTTTAAACCCTTAAAGGCACACTGAGGAAAGCAGTTTATAAGATGAAACGACTAACTCCTCCTCAACAGATAAATAAAATACATTTTCAGAGTTGGAATTAACCCCCGAAAATGTTGTTGCTGTGTATTTTTCCATTTCTCCTTCTATTCCAGCGGTTCATTTTCTATTCAAGTGACACAATGTTAATGGTTTATTCTCAAATAAAAGAGCCAGAAATCCTCCAGGACTATCCTGTTCTAACGGCTTAACTCAAGATGATCTTTTAGAAATCGATCTATAAAGAAGAAGCTTGTTCCTGATTCACAAACTTCAACTACATCGGTGCTGTGTGTAGTTCCACATTTCACTTTATCAACAACAGAGCGAAGAACATGCTGGTGAGCAGAAAACATAATGAAGCAGTTTCAACACGTGCACACAGATCACACCGGTAGCGTACATGCAGTCTATGGATGTGCGTCAGTCGCTGGATGTAAACGTCACCACCCCCTCCCACTGGCTCGCGTGGGAACTTGATGAATATTTCCTGCTGCGTTCTAACATCAGCTCATCCCGTCTTTGAGTGAAAATTTAACCGAGGGGCCGGGAGGAAAAATTGCAGGTAGAGTTGGGAGTTAAAGTAGAGATGGTTCAGATCCGATCTTATGTCTGTATCGGGTCTAAACAAAAACAAACCATTCTGCACTAGAATCTAAACTTAGAAGGACAAACTGTCTGCTACGCTGTTGTCAGATAAGGCAGCACTTAAACACAGCACGTTTCCCTAATGTCTGATGATATAGGAAGGTCATTGTATCATTTAGTTGAGTAGATGTCTTTGAGATTGGACCCTTAAAATGCAATAGGAATCAAACAGCCCCACCTGAAGTCCTTTTTTTTGTTCTCTAAAGTCTTGCTCCAGGGTCTGATCAGAGAGAAAAATTGATTCAATTAAGTTTTTCTTCAAATGTAAAATAACAAGTAGCCTCTCTTTCTACCTTCCATTGTTTCTTCTCTTCTGTCTTTACACTACCTGTTCTTCTCTCTCCGTGCAAACACACACATTTGAGGGCGGTGTAATTTGTTTACCCCCTCCCCAGTCAAACACGCACACCCTCAGCTGCTCTGTCGGTTAAAATGAATATGTATAAAGAGGAGGGGGAGGGCCGCACTTATATAAACAGTGTGATTGGCAGGCTCTCACAGCCAATCAGCTTGCAGACGGTGGTTGGTGAATATTCAGCAGCAGCTGCCGAGCACAAAGAGAGGCTCAGCTGTTAAAAGGAGCGAGGCCGCTCATTTTGTTTAACCCTTTAAGTGTCTGACGGCCTATGCATCCAAACACACTGAACACATCTTCACACACTTCACTATCAGTTTATCATACGTGTTATTTTTATCACTTTGTCCAGGAGGAAGGAAGGGTGAAAGAAAAATGAAAAAAAACACGGGGCATTTAAAGAAACCAACTTACAAACATAAGGGGAAAAGAGATGAACAGAAGAAGGATGAGAGGATAATAAAGGTGCAAGGAAAAAGTTAGAACATGGAGGAAAAAAGTAAAACAGTATGGAAGAAGAATAAGGAACAGAGGATGGATAAAAGGAAGAATAGAAGGGTAAGGACAGAAAATGAGATGCAGAAAGAGTGCATAAGGGGATGAAGAAAAAGAGAAACAGGGTTGAAGAGGAAGAAGTAAATAAATGGTGGGAAGAGGAAGGAGAAATATTAAGACCATGGTTGTGATGGAAGGAAGGGATGAAGATAAAATGGAAATGAAGATGGGCAAAGGGCTGAAGGAAAGGAATATAGGATGGATATTAAGATGAGAAGAGAGATATTGAGGAAAGAAACATGATGGAGAAATGTAAAAAAAAAGGAAGGAAGAGAGTGAGGGGAAAGGAGAAGCATGAAGGAGAGAAAAATCATTTGAAACATGAGGGGCGGAAGACGAGATGGGGAGTGAGAATCCGAGAGAGGGTGAAGGAATGGAAGACATTGAACAATTCAAGGAAGAAAGGGTTGAACATGGGAAGGTCTTGAGGAAAGAGAAACAGGAAACAAGGGAGAAATGAAGGGAAAAAATGAAGTGGATGAATAAAGGGGAATGATGTAAGGATGGAAGAAAAGGGTCAGTGAAAAGAGGAAGGAGGGAGATTGCTAGAAAGCGTGGAGAAAAGGAAGTAGGCATGGTAGAAAGTCAAAAAGGGATGGAGAGGAAAGCAGGAAGGAATAGAGGGAAGGGATGAATGAAAGGAGAGGATGAAGGAGGAGAGGAATAAAGAGGACAGACGAGGTCAAATGTCAGGTTTTCATTTTGTCCTTCCTGCGTCTGATTGGTCCAGGGCCCTGATGTAAGCACAGCTATGAGCTGTAATTGACATCCCAGTGTAGGTGATGATGTAATGACTCGTCCATCAAAAAACAAAGTGAACTGAAGCCTCCTGCCCTCTGATTGGCTCCTTATCAGTGATGTAACAGAACACTCACAATATCTTCCTCCAGTTCTCCCCTGCTCTGCTTGACCTCCTTTTTTTTTTTCTTCTCTTTTCTTCCTCCCGGTCTTCACACTCCTCTTTCTTTGCGTTTTTTTATTGAATTTTATTTTATCTTCCTCTCCTCCTTTTCACCCTCTAATATTTCCTTTTTATTCTTTAGAAACGATTTGAAGTGTTTCATAATCTGTTTTTATTTCTCCCTCCTTCCATCCTTCTCTTCCTCCACCCTCTCTCCTCTGTGTGTCCTGTCATAATTTGCTAATTAATCAGGTGATTAGATGTTTGTTTGGACATTCAGCGAAACATCAGACTCATTTTCAAAATAAAGTGTTTAGCTTAGCTCAACACACAAGACTGGAAACGGATGGAAACCGCTAGCCTGATCCGTCCAAATTAAAAAACTTTTTTAAAATGTGCAGCTTTTTACTTTTTGTCATCTTTCTATTAATTCTTCTTTAATTTATTCGTCATTTGAAACGCTCAGGATAAAAAATGTCAGAAATCCTCCAGCGTGCAGGACGAGGAAGAAAGCAGCGGTTTAATTGTAGCTTCATGCTAACTGTTAAAAATGTCACAGTTACAGAAAGAAATCAACCACGACAGGATATAAATGAGGTCATAATGAAAATATTACATTTTTGCTGTAGTTAGAAAATCGAACAAATAATAATAATAATAATAAATTAGATTTATATAGCATTTTTCTAAATACTCAAAGACGCTTTGATGGGAAACAACAACAAAAAACAAAGCAAAAACAAAGAGAACATATATATATTATTTTTTTTATTTTTATTTAAAATGACATGCTAATTAAAAACAGGTCAACGCACATATACCCAATTTAGGCTACATGACTTATTAATGGTGATTCAGTTTTGTGTGTGTGTGTGTGTGTGTGTGTGTGTGTGTGTGTGTGTGTGTGTGTGTGTGTGTGTGTGTGTTTCCCCCAAACTGAGTCATGTGTCTGTCTGTCATTTGAGCCACTGAGCGTGTGCAGAAGCGAGCTCCCATTCTGTCAGCCTGCTGATGTCATACACACACAGTTACACACATGTTCAGTGATGCGTTGGACATTAGCATACTGTTTGAATCCAGACATGAGTTCCCACACACACACACAGACATACACTCACGTACTCGCACACTGTTATACTGTATTATGTAACACACACACACACACAGGGTCCTGTTGTCTTGTTGTTGTTGCTCAGTGAAACACAAACAGACCTCAGATCAGTCTGATCCAGCAGAAGAATTTAACTGAGTGCGTGAGCTAATGTACTGTGTGAAAGGACAACGCCAAGGTACTCATACTGCACCAGAGAAAAGTATTAGTACTCACTTTCTAAACTGTTTCCCTTCAGAGGCAAACATGGAGCCTTTAAGGTCGTAAAAACTGTGGGAATATTTAGTCTTCTGCACACATGACCTGAAGTTATCATGTGCAACAAGATCATTGATTTTCTTAATTATTATAACTATTTATTTTTCAATGTATGAACTTGGATTAATAAATACGTTTGTCTCTGATCTTAAAGGGCTCTAATTAAATGTCAGAGTTAACACGTCCTGGCCTCCGTACTTTCAGTCGGACGATAAAGTCGATGGAGGAGGTGTCCCTTTACAGAATCCTCCAGGAGGAGGGGGAGGAGAAGGGAGATGTCAGGGTGTGTCGAGTTACATGTTTGCTGTCCAGCTGATTGTTGTGGTTATGAACCTGTGACCAGGTCAGATTACCACACACACAATGACTCCTCACACACACCCACACAATGACTCCACACACACATGAACAATGACTCCACACACAGATCAATAAAGGGTCATACGATTACACTGAAGATCAATAGTCAACAAATGTTTACATATAGCTGTTGACACACGTACATACACAGTGATGAATTGTTGTGAAGTGTCTCTGACCTGAACCTGATTCTTCTTGTAGCAAGTGAAGATAAAATGAAAAGGTTGTTTAGTCTTAATTGCTTATTTTAGAATAAGATCTTCAATTAAAAAAAAAAAGATCTTGACGTGAAAGAGTCCTCATTTTCCCAGATTTATTTTTCCTCACAAACAGTGTCCCGATGTCAGAAGATTAACCTCAACTTTCGTCATGACCCAAGTTTGTAGACAAAAAAAGTCGGCAATAAAAAAGAATCTTTCACTTTCTCATAAATACTTACAACAACCCAAAATGACCTTGTTTCCCGTCCCCCAGCATGTCCCTGATATGTGAAGAATGTCCTCTCATTTCAGGAGGGTCCTCACTCCACATTTATAGAATATATATTTTCATCTTAAAAGAAAAATGAACAAATGGATGTGCATGTTTTCAAAATACTTTTCTGGGGGGGTATCCCAACTTAAATAACCTCAAATTTGATAAAGTCCCTAGTTTGTCAAAATGTCCTCTCTTCTAAAATCATGTCAAAACCTCGTTCATGAAAATGATGCTGGAAGTTTTTCTAAACTATCCTCACTTAATTATTATTATTTTTTTTTAGAAAGAAACAACCTCACTTTCCAAGTGTCCCACTTTTTAAAATTTCCCCACTTGAGAAAAATGACATATTTCATTCTCTCTCAAGGTTGACAAAAATGTCCTCACTTCTCAAACATATCTTCACCCCTCGAGAAAAAAAAATGATTCAAAAACATCCTCAGATTCAAAAACTGTCCTCATGTCCTGAAGAAAAATAGATAGATGGATAGAGAGATACTTTATTGATCCAGAGGGAAATTCAAAGCATCCAGTAGCAGGTTACAAAGACATGACATGAAACATTTGTTACAAATTAAACCACAACTGACGCCCCCCCTCCCATACATATATATTAAAAAAAGATTTAAAGAATACCCCTAGATGAATCAAACTTAAAACTGTACAATTAAAAATAGACTTATAACAAGAAATGTACATAACCCATGCAGGGATAAAAAATATATGTGTAATTTAAACAAGAACCATCATCACTTAAAGTTTCCCATTCCCTTAAACATCCTCTCATTTTTCAAAATGTCTTCTGGGCCAGACACGGTGACTTCTGGCTTCAAGAAAAAGAAAAAGAGTGTGACGGGCAAAATGTTCAAACTCTTCATCCAACAAAAAACCTGGACAGGATCCTCAAACAGAAGTCTGTCAGCCGGACCCTTTGCTGCTGCTGCTGCTGCTGCTGCTGCTGCTGCTGCTGATGATGCATTCATGTCATGAATGAGTGGTAAGACTAAAAACATTTATTATTGTGATACTTTAAGAATTCTGTACCCTGTTAGACTGCCCTCTTGTGGGGTTTCTGCAGAATAAAAATCGTAGCATGAACTGAAATGATTGAATGGCAATTATTGGACATAGTGGAACTTTAGTGTCAGAAAAAATATTGACAGAGAGAGAGAGAGCGAGAGATGATAAAAAAAAAGATTTAAATACATTAATTGGAGTATAAGAAAGAAAACTAAGCATGCTCCAAAAACACTGTACTATAGTAATACATCTCCTAGAGTACAATGTTATCACAGAGCTAACTGAATGTCGTATTTAGGCCACACTTTGTAGTATTGAATCATTATTATAAAGGAAGGATGTTCTGATGAATATTTCTGCTGCTTGTCGTCAGGGGTTTTTCCTTTTCCATCAATTTTACAGCACTGGAAGTAAATGTGCATGCGCGCGCCCGGGCCGTACGTGTGACGGGAGCGCGCAACTGCAGCAGATGAGAGCGGGAGCAAGGAGGTAGGGAAGGAGGGAGGGAGGGAGGGAGGGAGGAGTGTGAATGTTACGAGTCACTTCTCATTCCACTAATTTAGCAGAAAAGGGGGAGAGAGAGAGAGAGAGAGAGAGAGAGAGAGCTCGACAGTGTGCGGAGGGACAGTGAGGCGCGTGGACTCTGCGGTATCTGACCTGAAAAAAGAAAAGAAGAAGAAAACACCGCGTCTGCTGCTGCTGCTGCTGCTGCTGCTGCACAGAAAAGAAAAAAAAACTACAGCACCTAAACGCACCGGGCCGGGCGGGTTCTCCTCCTCCTCCTCCTCCAGGTGTGTAAGGAGGAGAAAAAATAATCCTGCAATATCGATCATTCATCCCGGAGATATCACGGAGTAATCTGCAGCTGCTGACGTGACACGAACTCGGTGTCCCAGTCCTCCACAACCGAGGAGACACCGGAGATCTGCCGAGGCACCGGGCGGGCAGCAGGAGCGCCGTCTGGGTGTTATTCTCGGGTTCTGGAGCGCTCGGCGCCGGAGCCGTCAGTTGGTGTTTACGCGTCGGAGAGGAGGAGGAGGTGGAGCGGCCGGGGAGGAGAGGACACTCCGGAGCGGGAGTCTTAAGATCATTTTTCGGTTTAAAGGGGATCTGTGTCTCGGGTGTGTTGATATCAGAGAAGGAGGATAAAGAGGGTCTCTCTACCGCCCACCTCCATCCCTCCTTCCTTCCGCAGTACCCTCCTCCAGCTCCTCAGATGGGTTAACGTCGCTCCGGTCTTCGTGCAGCTCCTCGGAGAGGGTTCCGCTCACACCTGCTCACACCTGCTTACCCCGATCTGCGGGGGCCATATGATGTAGGAGCCGACCTCCCCCTTTAGTCTCTGCATCACCATCCCTTAATTCTAACCCCCTCCTCCCCCCCCCCCCCCCCCTTCTCCACGCACCCAACCAACCCACCCACCCGTGCAATCTCTGCCCCCCTTTCACCCCGCGTCCCACCATGCCGGCGGGGATGAAACCGCTGGAGAAGTTCCTGAAGAAGCAGACCACGGCTCTGACCCGGGCTGGCGGCTTTGTAGGCGGGGTGACGGACAAGGCCAGTGGGGGGACAGGGGCGTCCCGGCGGAGGGCCAGCTTGTCCCGGGTCGTACCGTTCTTCAGAGAGACGTCGCCTGAGAGTGGCCAGGCCCGGGAGGTGTTCAGGTGAGAGATTGGAAGGAGGCGGTCGGTGCTTCAAAATGATTTTATTTTATTTTTTAAAACAGCATGGCCTGACCAAGGTGTTTGGTGGCACAGGGGCTGAAATGGGCCCCCTTTTGGCCCCCTTGTTAGTGTCTTTGGCAACTCCAACCCTCCGGTATGTAGGAATATGGTCCATGTAATCTCTGACATAGTCTTATTTTAATATTTAGAAAAGATGAGGAAAACACTTTTCCATATGACAAATCACAGGAGTTGTTGTTCTACAACAGCTCAGACGTTCGTTGTTGATGTGATTTACCAATAATCTGTTGTATACAACGTTTCCCATTATAACGTCAAGAACGCAAAAGAAAAAGACAATCAATGCAGAGTGAGAACAGCAACTCCCATTCCCTGTAATTTAAATTTACTGTGTTATTTTTCATTTTTTTTAAAGATTTATTTTTGGGCTTTTTGTGCCTTTAATGTAGAGAGAGGACAGTGGATAGAGTCGGAAATCAGGGAGAGAGAGAATTGGGAATGACATGCTGGAAAGGGGCCACAGGCTGGATTCGAGCCTGGGCCGCTCGCTTGGAAGCCTCCATACGTGGGGCACTCGCACTAACCACTGCGCCACCAGCGCCCCCTGTGTTATTTATTTTAATGGAGTCAGGTGGCTTTGACTTAAGTTCTGGTTTTTAAAAAAAAACATCTTCCTGGGTCTCTCAAAAAAGGTCTCTGTAGGGATCCCTTCTGCAATGCTTTCAGCCTGAGTCTGTCGGTGACAAATACAAGAACATTTAGTGGACATTCTTTCATCTTTTAAGTTAGGTGTTGCAGCCAATACAACTCGTTTCACTGCTGCGGGCTGACTGTAGCCTGCTTGAGTAATTCAAAACTGTTTAGCACCTATTAGTCATTAAGATGACAAAATATGCAAATTGAAAAATGTCCCAGGTTTAAAAATAACAGAATAACCATTTAAATCTGAGGGCTTATGGGATTTAATTGTTGTTTTAGTCGGCTGTTAATCATTCCAAAGGTATCTGAGATGAAGTAATAACTGTACACATTCAGCTCTCTGCTGGATAACAAACTGGAGCAGGTAACAGGTTGTAGACCTCGGGGCAGTAACTTGCTTTGCTTTGTAGTTAATCCACATTTGTGGTCCAGATTTACCAGTTTTTCTTTAATCCCTTAGGTGGGTCCAGCTTTGCTCTGTGTCACTCCTGTTAGAAATACTCCAGTGATTCAGTTTCACACATCCTTAAAGTCTGAAGACTACTGAGTTAGTTTGTAAAGAATCAGTGTAACAGAGGTCAAGACACCTGGATTTCTAAACTGTGGTAAATCTCCAAAAGCGTCTCCATTTCTCAGGAGCGACGCCAGTGATTGACCAGGAGCAGCATGCAGTGAGCACTGTTGAAGAAGAGCACCGTGCTTTCACATTTATCCGTCAATCAATGAACATGATCCAATTATTTCCTTTATTAACTGATGTATCAAAAACACAACGTTCAAACCAAAAGCTTTTTGCCTCACTATGATTATATTTTCTCTTCTTTGCCGCTACGTCATTCACCGGTTTGAATCGCGTCCAATCGCTGAATTGTGTCCACTCCTTAACTCACCTGCAGGCTGTCATTGGCTGTGAGGAATACCCCAGCTCCCCACCCAGAAATGTCCCAAGTCGACCCAAAACAAGACATCAAAATCCAGGCAGAGGACAGCGTCACTGCAGTGTTTGAATGCCCAAATAAAAGTGTTAACTTTAAATTAGTTTAAATTGGAAGAACAGAAACAGTCCGTCACTGATGAGATTTGGCTTCATGACAATAATATGAAAAACATTTCCTACTAAAGATTTACTTTGACTCCCCCCCCCCCCCTTCTGCAGCCCTGACAGCGAGGACCCCCCCTCGTGGCCCTCAGCCACAGGGACCGGTCTGGTTTCTGTGCCCAGCAGCGCCAACGGTTCCTGCTCGGGCTCTGGTTCTGGCTCTGCCGGAGGAGACGTGCGAAGCCCCTCTCTGTCCAGCGACGAGCAGAGCTCTGAGGCCAGCCTGATCACAGAGAGCAGCAGCAGTGGGGGCGGAGGGGGAGGGACGCCTCTTCCTCCCGACACACCAGACAACCTGACGCTCTCCGTGCTGGACAGCGTGGCGGGAAAGCGTCACGCACACTGCAGAGGTAAGAAGTGAAGCTTTGTTCTTGTTTTCAAAATGGCCACCATGCGATGAAAGTGTCGCTGCTTGTTTGACACTGAATATCCACGAGCTGCCGTTGAGCAGCTCTGTAGAACGGTAGCTGTTTTAATCACCCTGATCTCCTCCATTGGTTGTGGAAAACTGGACTTTAGTTTTCACCTTCTTGGTAAAGTGCAATTAAGACGGGGCAGCTGTGCTAGAGTCGGTTGTCTCTCAACCGGCAGGTCGGCAGTTCAATCCCCAAAACGAAACCAAATTTGGTGCGTAGAGCGTCTCTTCTGTTGCTGTGGTTTAGAAACGGGTATTGTGTAATTGTTAGATTCATCCCTTGCGTTGCATCGAAGATTAAAATGGTGTTATCGTGACAACCCTACATCGTCTGTTTTGGTTATGAATAGTATCAGCAGGAATATCTTTGTCTCAGTTTGATCATACTTCCAGATAATAAAAGTTTTTTTTTTAGGCTCCAGAATATTTTTCAGTTTCTAAATCACCATGGCAACCTTACATTGTGTGAATGGATCTCTAATATAATATTTACAGTCCGTGATGGATCTGCATCCGAGCAAACGAACGTCTTTTTGCTACTTTGTTAGCGTTTAAGCTAAAGGAGTAGCTCTTCATGTTCACCTCTTTGACATTTTGAGCAAAATCAAGCTTTGCCACTGTGATAATGAGCTAAGATAAGAAAGCGTCAGTGTGCTAAGTGCTAAACCTGCTGAAACACTCAGGTGGTACACTTCACGGACTCTCAAGATGAAAACTTGACGATGTAAACCCTGAGATCTGCTGATCGCCCCCGGAGCGGTTCATGAGCTGAGACCTTTTAAATCAGATCTTTGTTTTAGTTTGTCGACTTAGTCCATGTTTGTATTTTGTTATCTTGGATTTAGTTTTATTTACTTATCATCTTTTCATTTGAAAGATTCTCTCATGTTGTCATGTGAGCCTTTGGTTGAGGATCAGGGAGGGAATTTATTTTACAAGCCCACTCCTTTGGCTTCACCTCAAGACAGAGGTGGAACATCTGCAACTATTTTGATAAAATGATTATTTTTTGACATTTTCTTCAGATGAGTCTGTTTTCTAAATCGCAGTACGGTGAATTATTTTGGGTTTAAGTCACGAGTACGTTTATTCATCATAGGAATAAATGGTAGGTGCAGTATTAGATTTCATGTTGAGGGCGGAAGACATGCGGCGTGCGAACCCTCCTGTTCAGCAGCTGCTGCAGTGAGATGAGGGGGAAATGATTTCATTTGACATTTCAGGATTCAACCTCGACGTCTCTGCGAGAGTTTTTAAAAACCCTCGACTGTGTCAGTGCGATCGCTGCAGCTTCAGAAACCAGTTCAGATCCAGGCTGTTTGTTTCCCGCAGGATTGTGTTCAGTTCATAGTTCACATCATACAGACTGTTCCTGCAGCCTCCGAGCGTGGTAGAGTGTGTGCGTGCGTGTCTGCATGTGTGTGTGTGTGTGTGTGTGTGTGTGTGTGGTTACATAATGGCTGCCGTTCCTCTTTCCTTTCAGAAACGCAGCCTGCTTATTACAGCTGAAGTGGGTGTGCATGCATGCGTGTACCTATGTGTTCCTGCAGGAATGTTTGACTGCATGCCTTTGTCCGTGAGTGTGTGCGTGGCTGTGTGTGCGTGGCTGTGTGTGTGTGTGTGTGTAGAGCAGAGATTGTTGTGTGCTGCAGGGTGTGTACGTGTTTTTGTGACCCTGTTTCATTCAATCTTAAAATTATTCTTCCCTCAAAATCAGCCGAAAAACACAACATGAACTACATTAAAATTGTCTATTTCTTCAACGTATTTGTAAAAAAACTTTTTTTAAAAGGTTTTTTTTTTTAAATTTTTTTTAAAGATATTTTTTAGCCCATTTCTGCCTTTATTGGATTGGAGCTGAAGGGTGACAGGAAGTGTTGGGAGGAGAGACTGGGGGATGACATGCAGCAAAAATCAAAAGAAAAGGCATCATCAAAATGTTCTGAAAATGTGGGAAACAAAAACTTTAAACATTGCTTGCTGGATAAAATGACGCAAATCCTTTGAAACCTCTTTAGAAGTTCTCTGTTTATTCTGTTAGCGTGCTACTCGTCTTAAATCCTGCTGTCTGTTTGTTTGGCTAGTTAACGGCCCAGGCAGAATGCTGGATGGGCTATCATCAAAAATGTGTCTGTAAATCACATTTCTCTTTCTCCAACGTGAGCTCGGACTGTGAGGAACTAATGCTGACAGCCCTGATACAGAATATTAAAAAACCTTCACACCTCGCTCATGACATGAAGAAATCTCTAAATCTCAGTTTAAAGATCTACTAGAGTGAAACACACCAGAACAAGCAAAACTACGTACAGTATGTATGTTTACTAGACTCCTTTCCAGATTCAAAGGGTCAAAAATGAACATTTAGAGGTATTCTTCTTTTCTCTCCGTCTCTGAGAGTCAGACGTCCTTATAACCGTGAATCAGTCTCCTCTTTGTGCTGCAGCATCACCGACGTTCTTAAGTGAAAATGTGAGATGGATGGAAGTGTTTGTAGTTTATTTTCGTCCTGCAGGAGGGAGAACAAACAGCCGAGAGAGAGAAAGAAAGAAAGAAAAGTCTGCGACAGAGACGGAAACTTTCAGACGGATTCTTTTAATAAAGCGCCCCGCTCGTCTGGATCTGTTAAATAAATCTCGTTATTGATGAACGTCGAGCCTCTTCTCACCTCCGAGGCCAGACGGAAATAAAACATCATGTTGTTCAGTCTGCTTCACCTTCATCACTCCTCTCAGGGAGCGGATCTCCATCAGCCGATCGATCAAGATTATCGAGAATGAGGAAGTCCATGAATGACTCGCCTGAAGAGAATTTACAACTAAACTTTACTGTTAAAGAATTATGCATAATTAGGGGGCGTGGCTAATATGACTAATGTATATGACTAATGTGACTGCATGCGGGTGTGCTGCAGCTGTTTGTCAGGAGGATCAAGATCCGCCTCAGCTCCACCTCTATGACTGTTTCTAGGTTCACCAAAAGTTAGTTTGAGACTGCGAGCAATTACAATAATGCGACCATTGATGGGCTTCAAAATTCTCCTTCAGTTACCAATGGGTGACGTCACTGTGACGACCTCCATGTTTTATACAGTCTTTGTATTACACACACACACACACACACACACACACACACACACACACACACACACACACACACGTGCGCATGTCTTTATTAAGTAATGAGGACTTAACTGTATCTACACTGATCACATTCATGAATAACCCAACAACACGTTCTTCTTGTTAAACAATGGAAGCATTATTACAGCTCAGTGTGCGAGTCTGTGTGTGCGTTTGTAGTGTTTGTGAGTGTGTGGGTGTGTGAAGTGTTGGATGCTGCACATTAGTGTTATGCAACTCATCTCCTCGCATTCAGGGAAGTTTGTTTGAGGAGCTTATAAGCTTTATGATTGAAACAGAAAATTCATGTTTTTAAAATGTGATTTTTCTAAACATTAAACTGCTAATCCTAAAGTTTAAAACCATCAGCTGTCAAACCTGCACTAAGCATTGTGGGAGCTAGGAGAAGAGGCAGAGAAAGCCAGCTACTGACTTTGATTCTTGTCAAAGGAAATCAGTTCGGGGGCTAACACTCCGATAGAGGCAGCTGCAGGGGGTGGCGGCCCGGAGAAGTACTGGTAAAGGGGGTGAAACATGAGTGACTTCCAGCTGACGACCCTGCAGCTGACCAAAAGACACTGTAGGAGGTGCGACAGGCTGAAGAAGCAGGAATAACACCTGTACAACAATTTGAATAATTAATCTGCTCAGCATAAACTAGTGATGATCGACTGATTGTTTGTGACTTTTTTCTAAAAACGCAAATTAATAAACTGTTAAATATTTTGTATGTCTTGAGGAAAAGTACTGTAGAGTTTTTATAACTCTAAATATCTTCGTGTTAAAATTGCTATCTAAATTTAGTAAAGTAAAAAATATATTTTTTTAACTTTGTTGTTTTGAAATATTTGTTTTCTTTTTTTGTTCCTACAAAAATGTGAATTATTTTTTTTAGTATTTCAAGAATCAGCTCCTTGTTTTGTTCAACAGAGACGAAGAGATAGTTTGATATGAACCTGTAAATGTGGTGCCCGTTCATAATCAGACCAGAATTGTTTCTTTAACCAGGCTGTAAACACGTTTATTTCTGCTTCATTTTTCAATGGGTGTATTTGTGACTTCCGGGGCTTCTGCAGCCAGTCTCAAGTGGTCACTCACGGAACTGCAGGATTGTGCACTTCCGCAACACTGCACATTTCTAGCTGTTTTTTCTTTTCTTGTGTTTTTATCAGGAGTAAGAAGAAGAATATGGCATAATGTTCCTGCAGCAGGAGCTGAAACATGCAGCTGCTGTCGTCATCCTTCTGCAGAGACAAACTGTCCACTTTGATGGATTTTCTCAGAATGAGTCAGAGCTGATAAATTATGGATCAAACTTCTGAATGGACGTCCTGTTGGGGTTAAAGAAACTGTAGATTCTGTCTGTGATTCAGATTCAGAAAGAAATCCAAAATATGAGTTCATGAAGCTCGCACACATTCAAAATCACTCTGACTAACATTTGTATATCTTCTTCTTAGATTGTTTATATTGTTTTTCATCAATTTAGCTTCTGTGTATTATTTATTGTAGGCTGTACTTCTCTGTTTTATGTTTTATAAGCTTCTCCAAACCAAGCACTGGTGTGGTTTATAAAGTAGCTTGAGCTGAACTGAAAACTGTTTTTGTGGCTGATGAATCAAAGTTAAAGGAGCAGTATGTAATTCTGACACCTAGCCTTTAAAATAGGTACTGCAGTTGAAATTCAAAACATTGGAGAGAGCTGTCCCCCACCCATGCCCTCCTCTGGAGAGTCAATGCACACACGGGTTGCCATTTCACGGACACTGAAGCTTCAGTGTTTATCCAGCTCTGCATCGGTCTGTAAACCTTT